ATGTCCGTTCTTGAGCTTCACTTCAGAGGAGTTCACACGTTCGACTTGTGAGCAAGAGTTATTATTATTGAGGCTTTTTTTGTTTTTCCCAAAGCATTTTTTTCTCTCCTTTTCTTGAAGTACTGTAGGTCTTTACTGCAACTTCAAACCGTGACATACACACCAGTGCTACTAACAACACAAATAAGGTGAGATTTGCTGACCAGAATGGATCCGCTGCTGACCGCGACAGCTCGTTTGACCACTTTGCATATGCCATGCTGAACACAGCAGCCAGCCTTTGAGTACGTTATTTTCCATGGATCTCCCAAGCAGCTCACATTGTCTTTCTTACATTCTCGAGCCTCTAATAACCTAGAATACAATTAACATTTCCACGTTTTCCATTTGAACGCGACCTGTGTGCTTGACATGTCTTTCATATAACAAAGCTGCAGGAGAAATAAGAAGAGAAAGAGAAGAAGAAAAGTCTGCCTGCTGTGCTGACACACATCTGACAAAACTGGCAGGACCAGTAACAGCTGAAGAGTGGTCCGGCCTCAGCTAATCCTCCACTTTAGATTTTTTCTTTAGGGCTCAGCTAAATATTCAAAAGACATAACGGTTACATACATCACAAAATGGTTAGCTCTACTTTCTGCGCAGGGGAGATGTTAAAGCACATATCCATCTTTACATGTATCTTTAATATGAGAAACAGAGGAGCTGAAGGAATCAAGGAGTGTGAATAGGGTGAGATAAAGAGCAGAACAAGCAATGGGATAAGGAGAAGATGAAGTAAGTGGAGGAGGGGGGGGGGTGCGGGCGGGCGAGTTGATGGATGTTGTCAATCAGCTATCGGCTTCTCAATTTGGTGGATTAGTCCTCAAGGCAACGAGAGGCAGCTCAATAGAGACCACGTCACCTCCTTTATCCCCAGTCCAGATAATAGCAGGTCTGTATCGACTGCCCCATAGACTGTAAATGGCTGCTAGCTGGTGAATACTGGAGTCATATGGAGGGCACTGCTGAAATGTCATCGGGGCGGGGGAAAGTTGTTTTATTGGACATATAGGCGATGAGAGGCTTCGCCTTCCGGCTGCTCTCCTCTTCTCTTGGGACTTCCCACACATTTAAGCCCCAGCAAAGAGTGCGAGAAGATACTTAAAAAAAGCCATGGCGTATACGTCCTCTTTTAGAGGAAGATTTATCCCGTAGCCAGCTACTGCAAAGATGCTTATGTGCTGCTATTTTCCCCCCCAACAAAGAAATTGATAAGTATTTCCTGCCTTTTACTTTGGAGCCAAACACAGCTGGTACTTAAGAGGATACAGAATTACATTTTGAGAAGAGGAAGCATGCTATTTCTCAGTAATATGTTCTTTATATTGATAATTGCACGTTAGCTAAACCCCTATCCGAACAGCAAATGTCAAACCTAAATTAGCAAGCGTAATTGGGCATGGTGGGTCTTTAAGGCTTTGGGTTTAACTTTTTACTTTTAATAAGTGTTTATAAGTTCTAACATAAGCTTCAAAGTTTAGAATGTTGGCCTGCCTAGCATTATGCCAAAAGTAACCAAATATATAATTTCTAACATGACCAGGAGCTGTTAAATCCACAATATTTGGTGCGTATATAGGTTATGTCAAAGCAGCCGATCAGGATTTTGTCCTTATGGACAAATCTGAAATGTTTCCTTAACATTCTAACAGTACAGTATTATAGCAGGAGGAAAAAGGTGTGTCAACTGCTTTTTAAAGACCCCTGTTTCAAGATTCTTGTGCCGTTGCGACACAGGAATATTATTACGAAAACCCAATAGTCCAACACATTTCCCATTGGACCGGAAGCCAATTGGTCCCATAGTCTTTTACCCCAAAAGCAAACACCCATCGGTCTGAAGGCTCATTGCTCTGAGAATGGGTGTTTGCTTTGTGGTAATGGACTGTGGGACAAATGGGTTTTGGACAAATAGGATTTTTTTTTTACCATTGGGGTTTCAGTACAATGGGCCTTTGGAATAATGAACAGACCCGGTTTTTAAACGAGTCAGCTGAAAACATAAATAAATGAGCTTGTGGCAAAATGGTGTTGTTATTTTAAGTAGGTAGCTAGCTAGCTCTGTTCAGCCAATGCATTTACGGTAGGCGGCTATAAATGAGAGGATTGCTTTAGTATTCCACTGACTGAGATCAAAAAGCCATTGTTTTGAGGATGACTAACATCTGTTTTTGGGTAAAAGTGCATGTTCGAGAATGGAACACTTGAAAGGCCTAGCAACAGTAAATGTTTGTACACATACTACTACAAAATAGGTTGGTTGACACTCAACCCTTTCATCCACGATCACCAGGACTAACACTTTTTCTCAACTAACTAAAGGGCTGAATTTGACCTCATTTTACTTGCAACATTCTAAAGAACACAGGCTTGAATATTATCTAGGTCACATTATCACAGTTTGCATATGTGCGACAAGTATATCATCGCTGTAAAAATAGAAGGCTGGGACTGACATGAGAAAACATTCAAGAGGCAGGGAGGGTGTTCTAAAAAGTGATAATGTCTAACTCAAGTGTTTGCTTTAAGCATCTTAAACATAGGAAGCCAGTTTGCCTCCAAGGTCAAAAACAGCTGTGTGAATAAATATGGAGAGCTTTGAGCACTGCTAAAAATAAAGCCGCTTATTAGAGGGATATTGAGGCTGCTAACATTTTGCAACAGATGAAAAACCAACCTTACAGTAGCTATGTGATAAAGAGCTGCAGAATAACACGGTTGGACTTTTGTTTGTTCCGTGTGGTCAGTTCTTTACAGAGCTTCAGTGAGTCCTTTACAGGAGAGGACAGCTCATATGACTCATTCAACAGACAATACAGACATGACCGGACAAGCCTTTCCATATCTGACTGTGATGAGTGAAGGAGCTCATTGATTCCCCCCCAACATTCACAAACACACACCTTTAGCTTCATCATGGAGTCCTGGCACAGCTTGTCCCCGCGCGCCGAAGTCACCTCATCAATCCCGATCAGCTTGGCCTTGTAACGCACGCCATCTCCACGGAAACGCTTAATAAGCCCCACCTCAGTGCGGTCCTGACCTGTGGTCGGAAAAGAAAAAGAGAGGCAGAAAAATAAGGAGGAGAAAACATGAAACAGCGCGACTGAAAAATACAACTTTAGCATCATGGCTCTGCTTGAGGTATAGGAGCTGGTGTGTGTGTCTGTGTGTGTGTGTGTGTGTATGTGTGTGTGTGTGTGTGTGTGTGTGGTTGAAGGGGCTCAGCAAGTGAAGCGTGTGTTGACATTTGGTTTTGAGAAATCATACCCCCCCCCCCTCATTCACCGCAACCCTCCCTCCCCTCGGCAGCTCTCGGTGTTGACCTCTACACACCGGTGCTTTTTCGCTTTTGAGACCGAGGAAGGCAGCGTGTGAGAAAGTGAGCGCCCATGTTTGTTTTCCTTTGTATCGCCAGATCTGCAGATTTATTCAAAGAGTTACTTGAAAGCCCCACCATCAGTTAAATGTCGCTTTGAAGTGATATGAAAGTGTGGTTTTTCCAAATTCTGTCAAGAGATTGGAGAACTCTCCTGGGTACCAGTACGTCCACACTCACATTTCAAAGTCCTCCATTGAAGCCATTGCTAAACGGGGGAAACAAGCTGTCATTTTTGGCTCGCCTATTGCTAGCACCCACTCTGTTTGTTGTCTGGAGATAAATAAGATCTCTTTGCCACTTTAAGTGGTGAAAGACACTAAATTGATCAGACGCAGACACCCCCCAGAGCATCTTAAAGTGGGCCTTTTTTAAAGTGCACTTGAAAGCCTCGGCAGGAGAGGAGAGATGGCTCTGATACTGTTGTGTTTTTTTTCTTGTCAGCTTGCAGCAATGGTCTCTAACTTAAAAACACGATCCATCCAATGTTGTTAGTGCTAACTCAGCCGGTTTGAGATGAGTTGATGCTATTCTCAGAGAAAAGGGTTCAATTAAGTCTAAGACAAAGATGCAGCTTTAACTAATTCCAATGCTTATTTACTCATGACAGCATCTGTGTGGGCTATTAAAAGCAGGATGGGATAAATGACTTGACTTCTTGTCTGCTGGGAGTTTGTAAAATGTTTGTCAACCTCCTTCTGTACATCAGTGTTTCCGTTAGCTTGTACTCCAACGGACTTTGACCGCAATAATCTGTTAAAATAATAATAATCTGTCATAATGTCCCCTGAAAATAATTCCCCTGAAGCAAAGTTTGAGTCGACAGTACGCCTTATAGGCCTTCATGTTTTTTGGTTTCTTTACTAACCGGTTTTTTTTTTTCAGATACAAAAAGAAAGGGAAATTATTTGTGTTAAAAATGTACAGCATAGGGCTATCATGCAATTTTTTTGGTGTTAGGCACAATTCTAGTGACTGGATTTAAACCTGCGTTCAATGTCATTCTTTAAATAGCCGGAAACACTGCTGTACATGTGTGTATTTCCTATTTACAATGTCTGTTGATACAGCTGACTTCTGCCCATACAGTTGTGCTTGTTGGTGCGTTTTTGCACAAATCTCCCTTCCCACCGTACCGGAGAGGATTCTTCTGCAATGACAACAGCATCGGGCTGATCTATAAGAGCAGCACGGTGTCCACCACGGTGCTCACAGCCGTGGGCGTCACTGTGCCCGTGGCCTCAGTAAGTCCTGCTGCGGTACTGCAAGACAACCAGAGGGAATATGTTGGGACACTCGGTTCATCCAACGGTTGGCTGGTGACACGATTGGCTCGACAGGCTCTGACTCACACTCAGTGGTTATATGTTGCACTCCATTAGCTGCAAATCATGTAGACCGTGCTTTACAGCCAACCATTTTCCAAAAGCTATGTTTATTATCATAAGCTTTTGGGTTTATTTCCCAGTGGCTGCCATTGGTTTCCAATTGTAAGAAAGGGTATTACAAATAATCTTTGTAGAAGTGCCTACAAATTCATTAATTCATTATTTGTTTATTCCATTAAAAAGTCAGAAAATAAAGAAAAATGTCATGGGGATAAACAAACTTAAATTGCCAATTTAACTACAAAAGAACACTTTTACAATTAGATAATACTTGCATTTAAGAAGATAATTTTTGGTGAAGATGACATAAACTTTTGGAAGGATCATTTTCTGTAACGTGTATTTCAGGATCTTTCTATTTCCAAAGTTCTGCTGCTCTTTGTAAATCTACAGTCACATTATAAACGGAAACCAATGGCACCCTGAGGAGAGTGCAGTACGTAACATCTGATTTGGAAAGTGGCCATCAGCAAAAGGAAAATAAACTGTTTTGGCCCTAAAGACCTAAAGTCTCTAATAATACTGAAAATGAAACAAACTTGGCGTCATTATTTCTTGATCAGCCACAGATCCCAGCCACAGAATGGACCGAGCCTGTCCCAGATGTTCCCTAGTTGCCTCTTGCTTGTACCTACGACCTCTGTAATTGGCCAGTCATTAACCCTGCACCTCCATCTCTCCCTCCCCTTACCCATCCCCCCCTCCTTTCTCTCTCTGTGCTGCTCACTGCTTCTTCACACTAGCCGGCCTGCCTTTCTTGGTCATTGAGACCAGCGCTGTTCAGCCCTACCGTAGAGGGTTTTACTGCGACGATGAGTCCATCAAGTACCCGGCCAAACACGGAGACACCGTTAGCGACGGTGTGCTTAGCGCTGCTGGCATTCTTATCACCCTCCTCTCTGTAAGTCACCTCACTCTGATCACTAATGTCATTATCATCACTCTGTGTTTTTTCAGCAGCCTTCACCATTACTAGCAGCACACTCACTGTCACCATTTAACAGATCTAGTAAATGTATGTCAAATTCAATACTATAAATGAACTCGAATTACTAACATTTGAGATGACACACTTTAAAAACTGGAATAATATTTCATTGCTTATTTGGGGAAACAAAGAAATGTGAAGCAAGTAAGGGACTCATTCATCCAACCAACCAATCACATTTCAGACAGTTAAATAAGAAATGCGTTGATATACGTCCTGTTTCGGACACTTATATTTGGCAAAAATATCATCCTTGGATATTGAATGGTGATATAAATGTCTTAATTTAGAAACACATACCGTACATAAAATATACGCTTTCATCCAAAGCAACAAAAAGTCCCTTCAACCATGAAGAAACCTACTCAATAAAGCAAGAATCCTGCAGTTACATTCGATTTGAATGAGCAAAAAGTATAACAACAATATGATAATGATGTAAGGATTTTCAACTGCTGACTCAATTACACTTGCAATATGTGTTCCTTTCTCCAATGTATCCATGCATATTCCCACTGCACTCATACCCATGTTCACACTCCCATCAGAAAGCTTTATGAACTGAGATAATCCTACCTGATTACTGAAACAACTCCTCCTCATACCTGTGCTATCAGTCCCCCTTGATTGGCTTCAACACATTCCAGATAAAAAACAGTGAACAACATTTTTTCAGGGCTTTTCTCCTGGGGGGGGGGGCTTTAGATGTCTCCATTGATAAGAGCATTCTAGCTATCAGTGAAGTATTGGGTAGTTTGTTGCAATGTTCTTGGAGGAAAAATGGTGAGGATACGCTACCCTGACATCCTGTAATTCAAATTGAAGTTTTCTCCAACGGACCTTTCGCAAAGCCACGCCCCCCCTTTCTTTACTGTTGCTAGTCCGACAAGCTGAGAGCCAGATGCGTTAAACAAAGCCATAATGGAGGGTCTCCGTAACGTCGGAGTCGCCTTAACAGACTCATTTTGGAGCAATAACGCAGCAATATCCTCCAGGTCCCGACAAAAGGGGCTACAATACGCTATGGAGGGTTATATCCACAGTATAAACATTAGAAAAGAGGGAGGCACAACATCAATAGAGGCACTTGCATACAGGTCGCGGTGCAAGAGTGAAAAACCACATGAGCTGTATGTCAAGGGACACCGGGGGTTACGGACCATGGTCAGACGGGAAGTCCTCTCCCCGTGTATGACCGAATATCCCTTCCTCTGCCCTGTACAGTCCTCGTTCCGTGGAAGGGCACCGTGGTAGGAGGTCCCAGTTGACGGTACGATTACCGTTCAAACCTACTTGGTGTTGTGTGTAAGTTTAACCTTTGATTTAACAGGGACTCTTAGCAAGTTTACACTGACGGCCGCGCGCGCGAATCACGGTCGCAGAGTTCCTAGGACCAAAACGACCGGAGAACCGTTATCAATTCTCTATGAAAGGACTTTACATTAATGGAACTTAATCACATAGGACACCTTTAGTGGCTTTGGCTTGTAAGATTACCGGAAGGTAGTTTCCATTTCCTTGGAAATTGTAATCTAAACAAGTTAAACCTTCGAAGGACAGGTTGAAAGGGTAACCTTTTCGGTTTTCTTGGAGCACTTTGATTCTAACCTTTTTCCTCGTTGTCAACATGTCAGCATGGATGTATTGTAAAAAACAAAAAATTACATGACCATTGAGACACATTTGATTGTAAAATTGATCATTGACTTAAATCAAGTGGTATAGAGAACAGAGTACATTGAAATTGCTAAAATGTACTCTCATCTATGGAATTGTTTTCTGGTTGTGTGGTACAACATTGATGCGATCCGCTATTCTTTGTAAAAATTAGTGTCGTAAAAAATTGGTTTATGAAACTAAAACCCCACTGTTAAAAAGACCAAAAACAATAGCAAAACATAAAAAAGAAACACAAAATAAGAGACAGTCCAGAAATTCAATAAATCTTCTCGCGATATATCACAGTAGCGGTAATAATAATAATAATATAATAATAATTAATTACGCTTAACTAGTAAATATGAATGGTGATCTTTTTACATTATATTTCCCTAGTCTAATTTTTATTATTTAGTCACTACACTGAAACGACCTTCACCAATATTCTTGTCGATCTTACAGGCATCCTTTGACCACCCCTGTCATTTTAACAAAAGGTTTGACTTTTTTTCTGTTGTGATTGTATAATGGGAACAAGTAAAGAAAATCTCACCCTGAGCAATATTTTCCGATTCTCCGGCCGTGTTGTCTTTCCGTACCAACATGGCATAGAAACTTTACAAGATACT